CAATATGAGAGATGCTCTCATATTAATTACAGTGAAATCTATTACTAAACTTGGAGGAGATGAGCAATTCTATCACATCATAGAAAAAGGCAAAAGACCTGCTCTCCTTTCCTTATGCCCCATGCAATTTTACTCACATATGTTCACATCCATAGACATTTTACAATTTGTTTTTAACTGATGAAAGACTCTTTAAACCCATTAAATCATAATGAAGGAAATTATGTCCGAGCTACCTCCAAACCTCTTCCTTATTATATTTGAGCTGGGAACTACCGGTATTCACATGTTAGTATTTACAGAACAAAAAAAAGCAATCTTTGTATTTATCTATTCATAAATATTTAAAAATCTCCTTATATACACCTGTTATATGAGAGAAATGTAGAAAAGAACGTTAGTAATTCATACTTGACCAACTTTGTCACAGGCACTAAAGCCTTCAAGAAAGTATTTTGAAACAATATGGAAAATATTTTGTAATAATATTAAAATATGACTAGAAAAACTTCTGTGTCTTCAGTTTGAAAGCCTGAAAGCTACTTTTAGAAGTTTCTTCTCACATGAGATATAATGGTTCAAACGATTTAAGGATGACAGATTTGACTTAGTTATGGAATACTGATGAACCATTATTTTTAAAGTACGATACTTTAGTTTCATTCAATCAACCCCTAAAGCATGAATTATTTTTCAGACTCACACAAAAAAGGTTTTTCCAGTTTTTATTTCAATATATCAAAATGTGAGTTCCCTCTTTCATTTTCATGCATGATTAAAAACAACCTGCCTTTTAATGCTTAAGAATGAAAAAAATACTGTTAATTCATCAATAAGAGCTCCCAATCCATTTACTCCTTGTGTACAAACAATGATGAGGGAAGCCATTATCCAATGAAATGAAAGCAACATCAAGTCTACTGTGCCATGGCTGATGATAGTCTAGTTGCTTAGCCATGACAGCCCTAGAATTTTCAGGGTCTTGCAATCAGATGTGGAACCATTGTTGCTGGCCAGGCAAAAAATCACTCTCGGACAATGTGACTCAACAAAAAAATTATAGGGTGATGGCTTAATCTCTTCTTCTCATCATTAATGCAGTTATCAGCCTCATTTCTACAACATGGATATGGTTTTTCACAACAGTATGTGAATTGATTAGGGTTAGACTACTTCAGTTGATAGAAACTTCTGTTTGTCGTAGCTGATTCATACACACTACTTTTTTGTAGTCTTGCTGTAAAATATAATTGACTTCTTCCCTAAAAAAAGCTCATTTATCTATGCTAACTATTTGATTTAGCACTACAGTGATTCTCCCTTAAAACTGCTGAACATTTATATATGAATCAATCCATTGCACCTGGACATTGACAGAAAGTGTATGGACAAATTGTTTAAATCTAGGATCAGATATATTAAAAATTGGAATGGAATGAAACACAATTTTAGAGCCACTGGAAGATTTAGCAAAGGAACTAATCTTCATCCATGTCTGCAGTCTTGCCTAGCAAAGCTGAGTTGAGAACACTTATACACAATCTGTTCATGGGTACACCACAAGTGAGCAAATATATAATTTGCATCAAACCTGTGTTTAAGCAAATAAGTCTGTAATTATAGGTTGTTTGAGTTTCATTGGTCTAGTTCTTTGCACTGAATAGCTCAATTACTATTTATTTACATAAGTCATTTAAGTAATTCTATACAGCATATATCTTGATACTGTAGTTGCAGGTGCAATCTGAGTGCATAAAATCCAAAATCTATAAACGGACATCTTTATTTGGACTTCCCAAAATGGTTGAATTTTCCAGGTGACATGAGTAAAAAAAAACAGATGACTGGCAATTTGGAGGGTGAAATCGTTAAGTAACTTATTTTTCTCTTTCATGGATTTTTAGAATTTTGCCAAGGAGCTTAAAAATAAAACAATGTAGAAAATTAAATTACTCACAGTGCTGGAAATATTCCTAAAGCCAATTTATCAAATCTTGCACTGTACCAAAATATATAAAATAAAAAATAAATGAATAGTAATTTGCCCTAGGTATCTGTCATAAGGAAATATAAAATTAATCTACTGTTTAAATCCAGATAGCTTTGGTGTTTATACAATTATTCTTGATCAATAACTCACTTAGTGCCACTGGACTGCGTTTTGACTAGATCCAGATTAAGAATTTCCTGAGTTTTGTTATACTGAGGGATTTACACTGCATAAATTATAAAAGCATTTTTTTTTCATTTGCTCATAACTTTGCCAAAAAAGGATAGGAAAGCAGCGAGCTGAATTTCTGAAGTTCCCTGAGCCTTGATCCTAAAACAGAATTTAGAGTGCAGAATGTTATATGAAAAGAGCCAGTAAATACTTGTATAAGTGTTGTTATGTTGCACAAGTATTTGTTACCTGACTTTATAGAAATCCTCTTGTAAGTAATCAAAAGGTGAAATTTGGAGTTAGTCTTGAAACAGCCAATTGAATTCACTATATATATGAAGCAGACAACTGAATATAATTTCAGAAGTGACAAGGTTGGGGAATAGCAATAATACTGTCAACTCTAGTAACAATTGTAATGACTCTAGCACAATTATGTTTAAAAAAACAGGGAGTACAGTAAGACTACAAGTAATGCCATGATAGATAAGAGTAGAGGCATTATACAGCTATTCCATTTACTTATTCTTTGCTAATTTATAGGAATAATTAACAACAAAAATACTGTACAGTACTATAAAATACCATAGGCACAACAAAATAACTTTCCATTTGTAGTTTTGAATTTAAAAAATCCTGTAAAAGCACTGAGTCTCTCCAAATGCTCTCCCTTGCCAGAAGAGTGAACAGGGATTGTTACCCAGAAACTTTAAACATTTAAAAAACAGCATAGCAAGCTGTGGGAAATAGAAAAAAAACACCTCCGAAATGGACCATATGCTTGTCTATCCACAAAAACTAAGGCAAAGTTGGAAATATGGCTCTTAAAACTTTGTAAAAATGCCAACTGAATGAATGAATTTTCTCCCCTTGCAAGAAATTGAAGCTCTTGCAAAATAAATATATAAATAATTTTTCACACATAGTAACACTTAGCTTATTATAACAGATGATACTTTTCTTCTAGAACTGCTTGCAAATGTCTGTAAAAGAGGGAGCTTGAACAAGGTTTATTTCAATCAGCCAAGATAAGAAACAACAAACACTGACATGACATATCCATGGCAGAGAATCTTGTGTGGAGACCTTGCACAAGTGACATGAGTGAAGTGTCACAGCAAGGGCTGTGAATTGCTGTTATGAAAACATTTGCAGAAAACTTGCATAATTAAATGAAACTGCTAGAATAGCTTTCTGAAATGCCATGGAGAGTGAATGTAAATAAATACCTTCCATGACAAATAAAGTATTCAGAATCCATACTGCATTAACTGTGGGAAACTGCAGTTTCGCAAAAAAATAAAAGCAGTTGATTATGAGAGTTAGATTGCCCAAAGATAAACAACAGGCTATCAAATCTGGCAATGCAAGAAAAAGGCACAAATAAAAACATTTTACTGATAGTATTTTCATTGATCAACAACTGAAATAAAGTTCCGTTCTGGCCCTTTTGGAAAAAAGAGAGAATGGACAGACTATAACAGACTGGGAAAGACAAAGTGGACCCAAATGGTTGGAATAGAGTTGTTCTTTTGAGACACAACATTCAATAGAAGTCTCTGACAATAATTTTCTAATATCTCTTTTATAAATTATATATGACAAATTCCAGAATTCTTCAAGCTTGTCTAATTGGTTTGAGTTCTGTCTATTGTGTGAACCCTGACACTAATATCTGCAACATTATAATCTCTCTCACACATATATCAAAAGTGTTCTACAAGGAAATCAGACCAAGTTGTTCAGTAGCCAAAGAAATGGAAAAATAAAGGATCTATAGCCATTAAGATTGGAAATAATCAAAACTGGTACTATTGCTGAACATTTCTCCTATTTTGTTTTGGGAATTCTCATTTGATTTGATGGGGGAAAATGCTATTGTTCCTACTCTATCTCTTCGGAGAAGGGGGGGAGAACCTTGAGGACGTGCAAGGATTTTTTTGTTTTGAAGTTCTTGTAATTTTGAGGTGACCAAAAGTAAACACTGGACAGCTTGACTTTATAATGAAAGAATGTAATATGAACTGCTGGGTTATGTTATTGAATACATGATTATAGAGCAGATGTATATCCAGAAAGGATCCATCTGCTTAAATCCAATCTAAACATATAAAGGAGGTTTACCATTTTCTTGAATATGGCATTTCTTCTATGCCGCTTAACAATTCAATTTCTTCTCACAATACAGGCAATAGAAAAATGACAATCTTTGTCAAGAGATCAACTCTTTCCCAACTCTCTAAGCTGAGGAGAAAAAAAACAATGCTATAGTATTTCAGCTGTAGTGAAGTACCTGACATTAGAACCTTTCCTATGAAAGAAGATAGTTTTGCGATATTAGTATCAAAGGAAACACAATAGCATTATGGAAAAAAAATGGTAGAATTATGAGTGTGGTAGGGATGAAGACATAATCAAAGATGGAAAGAACTGACCCATACAGCTGAAGAGATATTTCAGCTACCATGGAGATTATGGTCTCTGTACTTACCTCATAAATGCCCATTAGATGTGGTGAACTGGCTACTTAATAGTAGGATGAAACTACAGCTGAAGCAGAATTGACTTGCATCTCAGTGATGTATTGTGTGAATATAAATCCAAGAGACCCTTACAAATCATAAGCTTTCTAGCACTTCATTTTAAAAAAAAAATGCAACAAAGGAATAGTAATATTTTTCAGTAATTTCACTTCTCAGAAAAAGTATTTTTGAAATCCAAAATCAAGAGTGGTTTGTAAACATTGTGATTCCTAAACTATAAAAATAAGCAATAGAAGGCAAGTGTTCATAATATTCAACTCTATGACATACTATTTCTCATTGAGACAGTTACTTACATCAAATAATTTTTCTATGTACATTTCTTCATTGATTTTATCTCGAAGTATATCTTGATTTTGACGAACAAACATAATGTAAGTATCTGCAAGATCCATCCCTGGTTTCTGTTTTAGTAAGAAAAAGAAAAAAAAGATGAGAGGTATAAGCTACAACTTATTAACAACTTTCAGTGTTAATTTTATCATATACATGTTTGTATGTGTATACATATACATGATAAAATGTACGTCTGTGTATATACATGATAAAATAAAAACCTGCATGCATATGTATATTATTTGTCTTATTAAAAATTCATATAAGATTTAAGGGCAATTCAGGTTAATTAATAAGAAGCCCAATATCTTTTAATAGGAAGCTGATTCTGCCCTATTTTAAAATTCCAGGAAGTTTTTGAAATACATTCAAGAATGCATGTTTCAAGCAGAACTGATTTATGTTTATGTATATGTGTATGTATATATGAATATGTATATATGTATATGTATATATCCAAGTGTGTATCTGGGTATATTTTGTAAGTGTGGACACCCAGAGGCAATAATGGGAAACAAAGAAATCCAGCATACAATAATGGGAGAAAAATGAACGTGGATTATGAATTAACAGGCTTCAATAAACAGCATGAGGAAATAACATGCATAGTACTATGAATAAATATTTAAAAATTATATTTACTCATGCATACATACACAGTTGTGGTCTGCAGTCTGGATGTATAGTAGTATAGCATGGATATGAAAACAAAAGATGGGTACATTATAGATCAAGAAAATACATTATTTTTGACTAAATTCCTCCTGCCTTGTTACATGTCATGTCAGTTCATGGAATCATATCTACTTTTATCATATCATATTAATGACACAGTTATGCTAACAACACTCTTAAATGATTTATCTTAACACCTGATTACTGATCATAATAAAGATTATCAATCAGTCAGTACTTCAATAGCCTAATCTGAAACATTTCTTAGGTTATGACAAATGTAGAATAGCAATTACTCAAACTTTAAAAAAGGAATGAAAAAAATATAAAGAGACATAAGACTTTGTGCATTTGACCTCAATCATAAAAATGTTCCCGAAACTCAAGTGGAATATGCTATTATTTGTTGTACTTGTTTTAGTGTAGTTTTAATAATGTACTAATCGTTATTTTAATAGTAGTAAACTACCAAGAATTCAGAAAAAATGAAGTGGTGGCTAAACTGCATAAATAAATAAAAATAAATATTTATTCATAAAATATATTAAACTAAAATGAAAAAGGATACAATGATATAAATAATTTGGCAACTTGGAGATTTCAAAGAAAACAATATTAGAATACAAATCTGACATATAATGTTTGTAATGAGCTGTGTTATTTCCACAAATATATCTAAATAATTAATTTATCTTCCTTTTAAGAATCCTAAAAGACAATCTATCATTCTTTGATACTATTTGATAATATTTTTGGTGAAGTTTAATAGTTTTTTATTTTATTCAATACACAAAACATTTTAATTTTTTTAATGCATAGACTGATTCTTTGGGATTCAGATCTATAGAGGAAAATTCATCACAATGGATTTAGTGTTTTTAAAAAGATCTTTATAGTGCAAAATGCAGCATGCATCTATACAGAATAATTGTGTTTACATTACAAAAATTACCCAATCATTCTCTGCTCTGGTTATTAGACAATATACACAATAGAATGACACAATCTGTCATAAGGTGATCATGTTTTTAGCTTTCCTAATCACTACAGAGTAGGCTGGGATGTTGTCAGTTTTGCCTTCACCATCTGCTTTCTAATTCCCCCCCCACTTAATAAATACATACTCATCATGCTGTTCTTTTGTGATAAGCAATATAATACCAAGTGTAGAAAAGGAGTAAAATCTGGTAAACCATAGAAATGAAGATCAGAACAACATTAGAAAAAACAAAGAAAAAAATCAGCTAAACCTAGTCTACAACATCATCAAACATTAAACTCAACCCATAGCTTTCTTCCTTGCAACCAATCATTGCTTCCATCATAATCATAGAAAAACCACTCTGAGAAGATGTCTCTGGCATGGAAGCTCATCCATCATGTAGATCCTAAACTGTACAAAGATCCCTGATCTTTTAGAGCAGGGGTGTCAAACTCAATTTCATTAAGAGCCACATCAGGTTATGTTTGACCTTGGGGACCCAGGGTGGCCATGGCTAGCTCAATGTCACTCATGTTGGGGGTGCCTGTGGTAGCCTGAGCATTCTGCCAGCGAAAACGGGCTCCCGAGCTCTGTTGTCAGCTGCAACAGCTTCCCGAAACCCTCTGCCAGTGAAAACGGAGCTCGGGAGGGCCACGGGTGTTTCTTTGCTGTTTCCAGGACGGCCCCGTGGGCCAAATCGAAACACCCTGCAGGCCAAATCTGGCCCTTGGGCCTTGAGTTTGACACCCCTGTTTTAGATGGTGAAAGATGATGATGAGAAGATTTGAATAGAGACATAGGCTAATAGGTGGTTTTTAAACTGCTATTTGGAAGAAAGTGAAAGCTGAACTTTGTCAGAATGTTTGAAAGTACTGTTCATCAGAGGTGGAGCCTAACAGTACATCTGTGATGGACGGCAGATTTAAAGACTTTCAGAAAGAGGCATGCAGCTAAGAGATCTCAGAGAGAATATTAAGAACAGAAGAGAGCAACTGTTAACTCCCTGTCTCTCTACACTTTATATAGTTAATTAAATAGGAAATCGGATACATATGGAAGGAGACACAAAAAAGAGTCACAAAACTTGTTTAGCTAGCTAAAAGTGAAGACAATTTTCCTGCGTAAGGTTGGAGATAATATCTGTTAATAAAATAAGTCTCTTTTTAACAAAGTGGGAAATCAAAAGAAAGAACTTAAAGAGAAGGAGTAAAACAATACCCTGATATTTAAGAAAAGTATAATCCTTAAAGTAACAGAAGAGCAACTTTGGAAGAGTTTTGTTTATAACATAAACTCATTACAAATAATCTTATGCAATTCTTGAACAACCGCAGTTTAGTTTATAAATAGTTTGCTAAAAAAGTGGTTCCCCAATCAGCTGCTATCTATGATTTATCAATTTTGTTCCCATCCTGAAAACATTTGACCTATGACAACTGCTTCACATATTATCTCTATTTTTTAAGTTCTCACTTGTCTCTTTTTGAAGATCTCACCAATTCTACCCATCAACGTTTGCAATCTTCCTTTTGACCCATTCGCTCTTCCTTCATATACTTGTTTTGCAATTCATCCTCATTCATTCTCTCTACATGACAAAACCTCTTTAATGTACTTCTTTCACACTTATAACTCACTTTTGCATTCTTTTACATTCATACAGCTCTCATGTGAACTTGACCCTATCTTTTTTAAGACGTATACTTTTAAAGTACTCCATTCCCACACCATTCAATTAATGTTTTATTTTCCTGACATGTCCAATTCTTATTATTTTCATATAAATAGTCAGAAACAAAATCCTATATACAGCTTTATGGCTTCTTTCTTTCACCTTTTATTTCAAGCATCAGATCTCTACCTGCAACATTTCTATCAGCATTTGGCCTTCTTAATACGGTAGTTTTTCACCTATTTCACCACCTTTAGTAAACATCTTATAGGAAACAGAAATTCACTTACTTACTATGTTTTACCTGCAATCATTCATTTTTATTTTTCCTGTCAAACATAACTATTTTTTCCTGTGATACTTTAATCTTTAGACTGATCCTTGTTGCAACATACAATCTGCCTAATGTGGGGTATTTTTTATGCTCCCTAAGCGTGGTTGTTTATTTGCAGACATTTCATTACCCAGTTAAGAGTAATTCATTACCCAACTTTGCAATTGTTGTTATCTAGTTTGATAATGAATGTAAGTAACAACCAAGCTCAGAAAGCACCAAGAACTCCAACAGTTCAACCCTGAGCAACGGATATTCCATTCTACTGGAATCTTTTTAATTATTACAGTATTACAAATCATTTGAAGTCTCATTGTCATTGTCCACACACAAAAGTCTACAGTCTATCCTACAGTCATTTTCCAGCTACTACACTTCTATCATAATCTTATTGATTTATATTTAAGTAACATTAAACAACCAAGGGGACAGACATCATACATTCTTACTCTGACTGAGTAAAACAAGGTGTTTCAGAGTGGGTATGGACATGTTGCCACTGGCTCCTTCACTAAAATGTGTATTTTCATGAGACTGAGCAGTTAGCATAGCAGCTCAGAAAAACATACACTTTCTTTAAGGAAGCACTATCAACATACCAGTGTTATACTTACTCCAAAATATAATCACTATTTTTGCTTTGGATCCCATTGTAACATATTAACACTTCAATGTCATTATCATTCAGTACAAATCTTCAGATTATTCCTTCCAGTATTCCCTCACATCAGTTTCATTCAGCTTTTATTTTTTTGATTCCATTCATTCTGCTAGAAGCTCCTTGTTTAGCACATTCAATCCACTTCCAAATCAATTTTTGGAACATTTGTTTTCTTACATGCATTTTTTCTCATCTACAGGTTCTTTTCCCAAGGTTTATATTATAGTTCCCATTAATATAACCCCATACATTATAGTGGTATTCTGTGACATTCTTTTCACACTTCCATATCTACATCTTCAAGCAATTCCCATATCCTTTTTCCTTCCCATTCATCCTATTGTGAGATTATTTTTCTTCTATCGAAAACAAAGGTAGGATGAAGTATAACAATTACATTGAATATTGTTTCTTTTTCACTCCTGCTTTGCTAGTTTGTCACTGGCAGAGCACAAAATTCATTGCAATATGGGTGGAACATTCTGTCTTAGCAAACTGATTTGTTTCTTTGTGGGAATCAGGAGCAGATATTCTCATTCTAAGTAAATTTCAGCACCAGAAGTGTGCATTACATCATAATTATATGAGGAAGGACAATACCTCTTTTGCACTCTGTCCTAGATAGTTAAGTTAAAGGTTAAGATGTAATATTGCAATATTGCTCCCTATTGGAAGCATTTGTGAATTAATGTTATGCTGAAGAATAATTTTCACAACAAATCACAACTTACTATCTTCATGGAA